CAACAGCTCATTAGTTATGCGCAGTTGGTTTGGTATTGTTTAGCATAGTATAAATTTTTATTTAATATAAAGTATTGTGTATAATGTGTTACTATAAATACAATACATTAAAAGGAAAGTTACTATGCAAACATGTGGTAATCAGTCAGCCATTAAAACAGTACCGTAAATTATTCTTATTATCAACCGGATTCGGATTAATAAACACCCGTGATCTATGGCTCGACTCAGTAGTACTCTGTATTCTTTATAGAATACCGACTAGACACGTGGGGTAGCTTCTCTCCCTCTCATCTTAAGCCCTCTATACACCTAGTCAGGCGGGGCCTGCCTCTCGCGGAAAAACGGAGAGTCAGGTTCAGTACGGTAGCTAGTTTTGTGTCACGGGTGGAGCTGACAGCATGCATATAGGTGGGGCTGAAAATGAGCACCGCCCACACGCGTGTAAACATGACCGTCGTTGTATGTTTAGGCTGTGGTAAAGATTAAAGACTTAAGCAAAGAGAGCAAAAACAGATGTGATCCAGCAGCAGAAAGGTGCAGAGATGTGATAAATGTTTGGAGGAAGCATTTTATGGACCAAGTTGCCGAGAATGATATTGATTTTGACTTAGACGAACACAAAGACTTTCCATAGCCAGTGGGTAGCACTATGAAAACATCTCTTCCTTCGAGAAAAGCCTTGATAGCTGCCAACTGCTCCTCCTTTAAGACATAGTTCAGCTTTCTAAACACCATTTCCTTTACATCCATTTTAAAATAATTTATGATAATGTTATTCATGTCTTGTGTGGGTGTCATTTGGGTCATTGTGACTCATTTCCTGCTAGCGCAGAAATCCTGCGCTTGAACCTGACTCGACTCTCCGTTTTTCCGCGAGAGGCAGGCCCCGCCTGACTACTATACACCAGTCACCAGGCAACATGTTGCCAGCAACATTTATGGTTACTTTGATCTTTTAAGCAACTTATTGCAAGAATAGAACTGATTTCTATTCTTAGCAACGTCTTGATTACAAAATCAAAGTAACCACAAATGTTGCTAGCTAGCAACATGTTGCCTGGTTGGCCTCGCCCAGCTTTGCGTAGACGAGGACTAGGTACTCGGTATCTATGGTCTGAATGTCCGGATCATGATGTCCGGTATATATGGGTCCACACGTGGGTTGTAATGGCGCTACACTTCTTTCCCTCCGAATCTCTCCCTCTCTTCATAAGTTCATCTCTTAGTAGAACACCATCAAACTATCAGCTCTTGACTTCCAGACTATCTAATTTTGTGTAAGGACCCTACACGGAGTAAGGACATAAATAATGTAATGTTACTATTGTACCACTGCTCAGTGTAATCCTGTAATTAATTGGGTTAAAATTATTAGAGGTGGGCGATACGATACCAAAGTACTCATATATCTGATACCAGGCCTCCGATACCAAGTACTCGATACCAAATCCTGGTATCGAGTAGTGAGTAACCACGCCCTACCACACCTATTTTTAACGTCATAATTATGACCACGCCCTTTAATAATTACAAAATGGCGGCTTGTTTCTCTTCATTTTTATTAATAACTAATTATAACTTATATGCGCATGCGCAGTAGCTGACTACTCATTCACTACTCGATACCATCGATACTGAGACTCAGACTACTTGGTATCGGTATCGATTCAAAATTTCTGGTATCGCCCACCTCTAAAAATTATTAGTCTGGGGTTAAAATTCATTAAAAATTTAATGGAATATCTACTGTATATGCCAATAATTTTCAGGGAATTTTTTATTATCTGATTGAGTTAGACATAAGGTGGGAGTCTTAAATTATTTGAATTTTTACGTATCATTAATTTCTTGATGAAATTTGTTTATAAATCTCAATGAGCCACATATTTATTTTATTTATAATGTCTCCTCTCCATCATCTCTCATTAATATATATACTCCAGTAGTTCTGAATCAAGTGATGGATCAGATGATCATAAGACTAATGATGATGAAAGGTCTCTGGATGAGGTTGATTTAGGTTCTCTCTCTCGTGCTATTGCCACCATATCAATACCTGATACTCTACCTGAGGTACCTCTCCTGGTAATCAATAGGAACCCAATGTTCCCAGGATTTGTCAAAATGGTGGAGGTAAGTCTAAATGATTTGTGATTGTTAGTTATACTCTACCATATACTGGGTACTTTTGGATGGGATTGAATTAGTGAATTGATAACTGATCACAAAAATAGACCTACCATTTTGTGTTATTATTATACTCATGTTCAATGATATATGGCCTCAAATTTGAGAAATAAAACTTACCAATTACTACTAAAATAATGTGTAGATTGACTTAAATTCCTCTCCCCCAATATTACCCATTATACAGTACATATACTGTAGTCTCTCCTCTTTATAATCCTTTTCTTTCCTTTCTCCTCTCCCCCTCTTTCTCTCTCTTTCTATTTTAAAAAGTTCTTGTATTTTCATTTTTTCTCTTCTATTCTCTTTCAGGTTACTTATGAATCTCGAATATCTTTAAGAAAACAGGAATGTGACCTGGTTTTACCTTAATCTGGAGCTTTCCATTAAAAGAATGACAAGTACCTTATAATATAATACATACATGTACATGTACATTAGCAACCTATCCATTGCTTTTAATGCACTTATTTCTAATCTATTCTTAATACACAAGTATTAATATTTATTTATTATTGTTGTTGTTTTTCTTGCAGTAATGAAGCTGATGTTATCACTAATCTTGATGATATATACAATATTGGTAAGTTTGTACAGATCACTGAGTTTCAAGAGTTCAATAATAGAATGAGATCAATAGACAGTGAGTGAAACTAAGTACATGTAAATATTATATTGTATTATAATACAGTGTAAGGATGTTCTTATACTATGTAGAAAGTTTGAGCTTATTCCGATCAAAATTGGATTTTATATGAATTTTAAAAGTTGCTCCAATGTACCTAGACTATAGTACAAGGACATTGGCCAAATTTCATCAAAAAATGAAAAGTAGAGAGTTCTCCATTTTTATAATTTTTCCTGGTACATAAATTTGCTCATTTTAAAAATAGCCATAACTTTAATATGTCCATAACTTAAAAATTTGAGCTTAGAATTGGCTCAGGTTTACATGGCATAAGGACATCATTATGTATCAGAAAATGTGATAAAGATTTTAAGCCACTTTAGCATGGATAGTACTGGGACAGTTTCAGAAATTTGCTCATTTTTAACATGGCTGTAACTTAAAAATTCAAGCTCAGAATTTGCTCAAAATTTCTACACAGCATTAAGGACATCAATATATATCAGAATAGAATATAATAAAAATTTAAGGTATTTTTGAAGCCTTTTTTGAAAATTTGGCTGGTTTTTTAAATGGCTGTAACTCAAACATTTGAGCTCAGAATCACCTCAAACTTTCTATCTCATATACACATTCTCACATGATTTATATAGAACACTTACCCTAATATTTTTGTCACTCCTCAAAGTATAATAAAACAGACACAATGGAGGCAGGCAGAGTGGTGAGAGTTGGGGCCTTTAGAATGTTTGAAACCCCATCTTCGCCTCTCAAGGCCGGACCGCTTTGCCTCCCATCTACCACTATGCTATTGTCACTTACTCATAAACACACAAAACAAAAGCCTTTATACATGTAACACATATGCATACCACTGTGGAATACACACACAAATACATCATGCAAGCTGGCTGAGCTGCATGGCAGTAGGGATACTCGTGGTCTGGGCTGCATTAGATAGTCTGGGGGTAGAATACTGAGCATTTTCTTAATGTGAGAACTAGGTCTCATTCCTCATCTCTTTCTCCATCTTTCTCTTGTCCCTCACAGAGTCATTGGCTCAGATCATTGAGGCTGGCTATACCGTAATTTTTGTAAAAAAATTCGTCATAACTGTTTAGGGCAGGTAATTTTTAGAATGAAATTTTAGACGTCAAACGGAAATAATTTATTTTTGACAAATTTAGCGGCAGCATGGTGGTGTGTGAGTGTGTCATGAAAGTCTGCCAAGTCACTGCTTACCTACCATTCCATTGACATTAGATGAATATAGAGAATCCTGACACAATGAGAACCTGTATTATATCTATGTACCATATAGCTTGAAATTTTAGTGGGTCGATATTTTCGTGGGTTGATATTTTCGTGGTTTGCTCCTGGTGGGGCAATTCGTGGTTTAATTTTCGTGGTTGACAGTTTACATAGCCTGTAAGGGGATGGCACTTCAATGATTTCGTGGGTTTAAATTTTGTGGGCAGCTCCATAACCACGAAAACCACAAAATTTACATTCCACGAAAATTTCAAGCTATACGGTACTATGTATTATATGTATTATGTCTGTGTATTGTTAGAATATGTGTTAAGGATTTTTTGTGATGAATATTTAGACTACTTTAGGTACTATTTCTCCCAAATAATTATTTATTTTCAATATTAGAGTGCTGAATTTTTAGAGAAATTACGGTAGATGATCCTACCCATCTTGCTGATTTTGGAGCTGCACTGACCAGTGGAGAATCATATCAAATTCAAGCAGTTCTTGAATATCCAGTCGTAATCACTTCCAGTCCACTGTGGCAGAACTATGGACATTGTCTGATAAAGAACTGGATTAAAATTGTTGATATTTAATTTTAATTTAATAAAATTAAAATAATTTTATTAAAAACAATAAATTGATAGAAAACTAGATGCTAACATACATCTTAATTGTCTAAGAAAGTAAGAATAAAATTAATTCAAAATACAATGATAACAACAACAACAAAATAATTATAATAAAAATTAAGAGTAAGTACAAAATAAAGGTACATGTACATGTGTACATGCTATAATAAAACTATTAATTAAGGAATTAAGGAATAAAGGGAAAACTAACAAAAGAAAGCAAAGAGGAGCTCCAGTGATACATGTTAATAGAGAATATATTGAAGAAAGATTGGTAATGTGGGTATATGGTGTAATGGTGATAACTGGTAAGGTGGTTACTGTTACGATGATAATATGGTGGTACAATGGTAATGGATATATTGCATGTCTTTGGTGTACATGATAATGATAAGATGACAATGGTGGTTAAATGTCAAACTTAGTATAAAGGTGTTAAGAGTAATGGTGATACAAGTTAAGAGATTACAGAAGTATTGTATAGGTGATATTGGTAGCCATTGGTATATGGTGTAATAGTACAATGGTGATACAATGGTATGTAAGGTGGTGGGATGGTGATAGGTGCAATGGTAAGATGGTGTTTAAGGATAGGATTGGTGATATTGGTAACCATTGTCGGTATACGGTGTAATGGTGATGATGGTACTAAAGTGGTGTAAGGTAGTTAGACGGTGGTAAGGTGGTAGGATAGGTATGATGGTGTAATGGTGATAGGTTACATATGGTGATGTAGTAAAATGGTGTATTGGTAATGGTGATAGGTTACATGCAATGGACTGATATCGTAGTAATATGGTGATAAGGTTGTGCTTAAGACACAATATCTTGTACTGGTGGGTCAACCTGTTGTCCTTCAAGTTTCTCATGATATCCACTCACTTTGCTTTGTTCTAAAAGAAATAAATCATAATGTATCTCTTGAAAATATTTAACTACTGATGAATCAGGATTAACTGATTGAGCTATTTCAATATCATGTGGACGAGGTTTTAAACTGAATGCATTAACTAAAAATTGAACAAGCACTAAATTAGAACTCATACTAGCAAAGTAAAGCATGGTTTTGCAATCATCAGTTTCAGCTAGTGCATTACATTTGAGATCAGTCAGAAAGTATTGTACCAACTCCATACTACCAGCTTCACATGCTCCATGAACTGAAGTGTATCCATTATTATCAGGATCATCAGGAGTACAGGGGAAGGTCTCTATGAAATAACATACCATACGAATATTATCAGAACGAGAAGCATAATGAAGAGGAGTACGACCAGATTTATCTTTAGGTACTGGATTAGAGACAATATTTGGTTCCAAATACTGGTATACATAAACTCTCTTTCTTATTGCTAGTAAGTGTAAGCAAGTGATGCCATCTTCATCTACTGCTAAAGGATCCAGTCCATGTGTCTCAATTAGTGTTCTTACTATTCCAATATCTCCTCCCTCACATGCTGCATGAAGTAAACCATGTCCTCTTTTATCCATTACATTAACACCTTGAGAATAAATACTGGATAAATAACGAAACACATCAATATGGCCATTACTGCAAGCTGTATGTAATACGGTGGATCCTTCATTATCAGTAGCTGTAAGGAGATCATGATGAGTAGAACTACCAGTGACTGAGAACAGTAAAGCTTCAGCAATATCCTTATGACCAGAGGCAACTGCTAAGTGTAATGGTGTCCGTCCTTTCTTGTTAGTAATCAATAAATTACCATTAGATAGACTGGCTTTTAGTAATAGTGATACCATATTCTGTCGTCCATGTTGACAAGCTAAATGTAATGGTGTATTACCATCTTCATCTTGCACAAAAATAAGTACAGCATTATGAGAATTATTAAATATGAAATGAGGACTGTCTAATAAACACTTTATCTCACGTAACCAGACAAAACTCATTGAAGGTATACTCTTACTCAGTAAATATTCTAATATTTCATATTTATTATCTGCTACAGTAACATGTAGTGGTGTATGGTCTTGATGATCAGTTGCATTAGGATTACAATAATTATTATCAATGAGATACTTCAATACATTCAAGTGACCCCTCTCTACTGATATGTGAACTGCTCCAGACCCTTCATCATCAGTAGCTGATAGATTACACTTCTTACTAATAAGATATTTAATAACCTCTAACTGATTGAAGTACACTGCATTAAGGAATGGAGTATGACCATTTTTACTGTGAGGTAGTTCAAGTGATGATGGTATGTGTTCTATAATGTACTGGATCAAGTTTAATCTTCCCTCCCTACATGCTAAGTGAATAGGAGCCATTCCCTCATCATTCACAGCACACATATCTAACTGATGATTATCCACCAGATGTTTGAGTATAGGAAGAGAGCCACTGGACATACAGGTAATGTGAAGAACTGTTGATCCATTAGAAGTCTTAGCTGCTACATTACACTGAGGAAGACTAGTGAGATAAAGTACAACAGGAACATGACCCCCTTCACATGCTTCATGAAGAACTGTACTACCAGTATCAATAGTAGTGGCATTAACATCACACTGATACTTGTCGATAAGTTCCTGTAGACAATGTAGCTTGCCTCCATAAGCAGCTAAATGAGCTAGTGTGTACTTGTCACTGCTGGTGTGATTAGCAATATCCACACTATGCTCCTGACTGTACCATTCCAGTATATGAGTATGACCAGCCTGTGCTGCTGCATGTAATGCTGTTAAACCATATTTATTAGGATTAAATGGCTCAAGCTTATGCTGTTGTATTAGCAATTGTACTAGATTAAGATTACCTGATAGACAGGCAAATGTGACACATGTTTCATTACGTGTATTATTAGCATTGATATCACATTTCATATCATTTTTTAAATATGAAACTAATTGAATATTACCACTCTCACAGGCGTATAGCAATGGTATTCTACCCTCACTGTCAGTAGAGTGTAGTAAACTAATGTATTGAGGATACTGACTGGTGATATGTTTGATAAAGTGAGTGTGACCTTCTGAAGATAAATAATGAATAACATTCTGACCTTTGTTAGCTGTTAGGCTCAGACTACACTTGTAATCCTTCACATATAATTTCAGTAGTAAAATATCACCAGATTGAGCAGCATAATGAATTGGTAGCTTACCATTACTGTCAGCTTGATGAGGATCTAACTGATAGGTAGCTATTAATTCTTTAACAAGAGATAAGTTAAGAGACAGTGAGGCATAATGTAAAGCAGTGAGGCCATTCTTAGTAACTGCAGTAGGAGACAAACCTTGTTCAGTAATAAGATACTGAACTAAATCAAAGTTACCACTCCATGCAGCATGATGTACTAATGTGCGTCCTTCATTATCTGTTTTATTAATATCACAATGCTGTACCTCAATGAGATATTGAGTGATATCAATATGACCATTGCGACAAGAACGATGAAGACATGTCATACCATCAATATCAGTGATATTAGGATCACTGTTATGACTATTAATAAGATATTTAACAGAATTAATACTACCTGACCAACAGGAGTAGACTAATGGTGTATGACCATCAGTATCAGTATCATTCGCATTGAGACTATACTGAGATATGATATAACTTAATACACTAGTAGAACCTGACCAGGCAGCATAATGTATTGGCATCATACCATCATTAGCTAATGTACAACTGATATTATATTCCTCCAATGCTTTCACTAGTAATGCACTGCCACTCCATGATGCTAAGTGAAGTAATGATTGACCACAATTTGTAGTAACAGTGATGCTAAAGTTAGGGCAAGTGCTAGCTTTCTTGAGAAGTGAAGAAAACATTTTAACTCGTTCACTTCGTTCGATAAAATCTATATTTGTTTTTATTCCAGTAGTATTAACAATATCAATAACTAATGCATCAGTTTGGGCCATAAGCTTACTATACACAATACCAGCTGGAATATGCATACTCACATAGCATGCATAATGTAAACATGACCTGCCATCATTATCATTCACTAATAATGCTTCATTACCTTGAATACTAACAATATACTCAACAACTGATGATGAAGCAAACCATGAAGCAATATGAAGTGGAGTCCTACCATATCGATCCTTTACATCAATGGATAATTGATATTGATTCATAACATACTTAAAAAGCTCAACACTTTTATCATTTGTAGAACGACAAGTATAATATAGTATACCCTGCCCTAAACTAGTAACTGAATCTGGCATGAAGAGATTTAATGATTCAAGCTTGTGGACTAATGCTAATTCTCCACTTTGACAAGCTAACAATGATAAAGACTCACTATTAAAATTAATCTGAGAAGTATTACAGTTTCTCTCATTAAAGAATTCCACTAGGTCAGAATGGCCCCCCATTGCTGAGTACAGTAATGCAGTGTTATTGCTATTGTCTGGTTGATCAGGAGGAACGTCACACGTGTCTACTAGATATTGTACTATAGATAAGTGGCCTTTATAAGATGCCATATGTATACTAGATACACTATTATCATCACCTTCATTAGGATCAATATCATATTGATGGATGAGTAGTTGAAGGATCTCAATGTGTCCACCATATGATGCAGAGTGTAATGGAGTCCAACCATGAAGACCACGATGATATGAGCTGTAACCAAAGTTGTTAAGAAGCCATTGTACTTCATCTTTTAATCCTCTCCAAGCTGCTTCATGTAATGGTGTACTGGTATTCTCATACCATAATGGATCACATATATCTATAAATGAAAAATTGTATAATTTAGTCATAACACATGTATGTAACAAGCAACTTGCAGCTGTTTGACCATTGCCCACAAGAAGAGGTTGACTCATGTAGCTACTTACCAATATCAGTGAATGAGTGCTGGACCTCTTCTATATAAAACTGTAAAAATATAAATAATAATATTTAATTGTCGACACAATAATAACAAACCTCTCTTAGATCATATTTATCTTCACTACATGTTAGTTCGGTGATACCAATACTAGCTAACTGTTGCTGCAGCTTTGTAGCTAGAGGAAATAATAAAGAATAAAGATACTCAGGAATGAGGTAACCCAAACAAAGAGATCCATCGTGGACAAAACTGAAGTAAAGATCATATTCAGGAATGTCTAAACCTTTTGGTATTGCTCTACGAAAGAAGAATATGTCATCCAGTGTGTAGTCATCTCTGTCAACTTTAGCAATCATTACTCGTGTACCAGGAGGAACACCTTTTACACCAAACTCTACAGCATCAGCATCTTTCAATAGTCCACCACTGTTTATAAAATAATCCTTTAACTTCTCTTCATATGACGACCAAGTTCTCTTTAAAGAACGATTTTTTGGTAGAAATACTAAAACTAGTTTTATTATTAGTTTGTAGTTGAACCATGATATGTATTTGTTTTGTAGTACAGTGAATAGTTTTGGTATTGTTTTAATATGCTCAAACTCTTCTCTAACTGCTGA